TATCACGGGTCTAGTTGCTTTCATTTTTCCAATCACAAAATATTTCCACAAAAATTAATTCATTCAGAAGATCAGCATAAAAAAACAAACAAACAAACAAAACAGAATCTTGACTGGTATATATAAATTACTTCATTTAAATATCTGTCAATCATTCTTATCATTTAATTCCAGATGTCTCTAGATCTTAACATTTAAAAGTTAATTTTCCCCTGGTACAGTACACATGTCCTACGTTCAATATTTATATTCCTAATCTTCATAAGTATCAATATCCCATATATATGTCTAAGCATCCATATCCCATGTTCTCAATCTCCATAAACATCAATGTATTATACCATTTATTTTGTATTGCCTTCTATATATCAGTAATGTCTCTAGCCACTGTAACTTATCCACATGTTCTCTCCCTTTACACCAGTGGTAATTTTTTTCCGATCTCCCTTCTATGTTTTTTAACGTCTCTTGATTTCCTGTCTTCCTGATCTTTTGCCTCTTACATAAAGTTCTCTTCTTTTTCCGCTTTCTTTTCACTTTACTCCTTTTCCTTTCTCCTTTCGTCTTTCCTTTTCTCGAGTCATTTCCATTATTTAAATCCTCGTCTCGTTTTCGCTCCGCTGTGTCTGATAATTCCATCTTTTCAGTTCCCATCTCAAACTCCATTATCTGTTCCTTGTTCTCCTGTTTCAGGCTATTTTCTTCCGCAGTTTCAGTGTGCTCCAGAGGCATAGAGGGTCCATACCAATTTGCATATGTCGTTTTAAATCCCTCTTTAATGCCTTCCTGAATTCCTTCTACCATCGCCTTTAGAAACTGTTCAAACATTTCTCCAATCAATTCCATTTGTCCCTCATCCATCTTTTCTATCCTCTATTTATATTTCACAGTTCCAGTCTCGAGGGTCTCATCCCGAAAAATTCCTTTCCCCTCAGAAAACCAATACAAGAATATGTTAATACTTAGCTGAACGTTTTCTGGCCACTTTTTTTACGATTAAGCCAGTCCAATCTGGGGATCCTCTCCACACAAAGACACTTGTTGCTGAATTTTTCTTCGTTGCTGCTGGGTATGGTTATAATCCACATTTATAAGTTAAAAACGAGCGGATGGTCGTTTCTCGCGAACATGGCCGCCATGCTCTCTGTTACTCGCCTCAGCTTCGGAGCTTTTCCGGGCACCTCCCCCGCCCTGCCAGTTGCGGGAAAGGGCCGAAAGAACGCCCCCTGCTCCAGCCCCCACCATCGGGAGGCTGGTCGAGCTCCCCCGAATCTCGGGGGGCTCAAATAAAGCAAAAACAGATTGGTCGGGGACGGAGCGCATCTCGCTCCCCCCGACCGTCGAAACGCCGTACCGGAAGTCGCCTTGGCATCAGATGGGCATGTTGATGAAATAATGGGCCTGTGGAGAGAAGCAATTAACCAGGAAGCCGCCTTTTTGCCTTCTTGATAGTCTTATTTACCAAATATTCTTTTATGTGTCAGGATGGTAAATTGTAGCCTTTTGGCTTGACATCTTTGTCACTTTTTGGTAAAGCAGTGTAAATGTCTCATTTGAATTTTCATTTGTGAAGGATGTAGACTCCTATATCCATCGTTCTGGGCGCACAGGTAGAGCTGGACGAAATGGGATGTGTATCTGTTTCTATCAGCGCAAGGAAGATCATCAACTAAGACAAGTAGAACAGAAAGCGGTAACTGTCTTTGAATTTCTTACGGTTTTTAACTTATTCACGTGTTGAGCACTTAAGCTGCAGCATGCATCTTAGGTGTTTGTTTTATTGAAATGAAATACATCTTGATAAGCACTTAATGCATTAAAAAGTACTGTGGAAATTGTACATAAAAATAATTAAGTATGCTATATAGTTAATGTTGACACAGCTAGTTTGGCCAAATGATGTATTAAACAACATGCCTTCTCACTTTAATTTCAGGGGATTACATTTAAACGTGTAGGTGTTCCTACAGCAACGGATATAATAAAAGCCTCCAGTAAAGATGCAATCAGGTATATTCATTGTTGGTTTGTGTTTAGACTCCTTAGAGTGGCATCCTACCCAAACTCCAGTTCTCTTTAATGTTTGCCCATTGCTCCCAATCGCTTCCATCCATTCTCTGACCTCCGACAATTAGTCACCTGAATGCTCATTACTCCTCCCCTAATCTTATCACATGACCACGGAAATGTCTTCGGACAGCGCTGGCTCTTCGGCTTTGAAACGGAGATGAGCACCGCAACCCTAGAGTCGGAATCGACTGGCTTTCGAGCAAGGGAACCTTTACCTTTTTAATCTTATCAGTGACCCAGTGCAGAGAGGGATGAAGAATGAGCGACATGAAATAGGCTTGCATGGCTGATTTGCTGAGTGATGCCAGGGCTGGGAGTTTACTACTTCATTATGGGAAAAACGTTTAAGGCAATATTCTAGGATTCTAAGCATGTCAACATTTCTACTTGACTATTTCATATGTTTATGAAATGTAAATTTGTCCTGCCATTGTTTGGTATATACTAAGTCCTAACACTTTGTTCAGGTCTTTGGATTCTGTTCCTCCTTCTGCTATTGACTACTTCAGACAGTCTGCCGAGAGGCTGATAGAGGAAAAAGGAGCGGTGGAAGCACTTGCAGCAGCATTGGCTCACATTTCAGGAGCTACCTCCATTGAACAACGTTCCTTACTCAATTCTGATGTGGTAAATACAACACTGTAAAGTAGTAAAACACTTGTACATGTTTGAACTCTTTGTTTCTCTGATTGAGACTGCTTTATGTTGAGTGTGTTTGTTTTTACTACCAACTTTGAATTGGGATGACATAGTCCTGTCCTCATTGCAATACCACCAGAGGGGGGAAATATGATAATACGGCCATGTAAGGGGGAAGTGGCTTCTACCCAAGGAACTAGGTTCTTGTACTTAAAGAGGCAAATTTTGTGATTTCCTGTTACATTGCACAGTATGTGTAAAAGGAAACAAGTGTCGTGTGTGTGTGTGTGTTGACTACCAAGGTAAAATGAGCTACAGGCACTCAGCATGTCTGTTTTAAAGAAAAGTCTTAATAGTATACTTTTATGGGGGTTTTTCTTGTAAACATATACACCTGCCTTTTTTGTTTAAGGGGTATGTGACCATGACACTTCAGTGCTCAGTGGAGATGCACAGCATTGGCTATGCTTGGCGGGGTTTGAAAGAACAGCTGGGTGAAGACATTGACAGCAAAGTGAACAGAATGCGTTTTCTCAAGGGGAAGACGGTAAGAAAGACTGTTGTGTGCATTCTGTGAGTGTTGCTCATTTAGGGTATATGATTTTAGCACTAACTTTTCCTTGTTTTATCCGGTTAGTTATCATATGGCATTGTGTGTAGAATAGCCAGGAGATCCAAAGATTGCCTGGCAGTCACAAGTTCTAGCTGTTAGTGTTAGGCTAGTGGTGAGCTAGACTTGTTTTTAGGGGCTGAGAGAGCTCTGAAAGAACTGTGACTGCCCCCCCAAGGTCACACAATTGGCTTCATGTGGAGGAGTGGAGAATCAAACCTGGTTCTCCAGATTAGAGTCTGCCTCTCTTAACCACCACACCAAACTGGCTCCCATCTTATCTGGTAATGTGGCAGTACAAATTTTTACACTTGAAAGCCAAAGTGGCATTGGTGAAGGAGGAAAGAAGGATTCCTGTAATGATAAAAATCCTTTCAGTACCTTATCCCTGGTTTCTTTCATTTTAAAATGACATTCAGGATGGCTGTGAGTGAGGAATATTACAAAGCATAGTGTGTATATTGAAAGTTCTAAAATTAGGATGGTGGTTAATTTTTATTCATATTGTAGGTAAGTAGCAAGGATCAAATAAGACCACTCTTTGGGAATTTAAAAGAGTTCTGTAGAAAAACTTTCTCTTCCAGTTCTGCTTTCTCTTCCATTTGGTTTGTGGTGTTATTCAATAGCCAACACCTAGTGTTATCCTGAGACAGCCATTTTCTGATGGTTCATACTGGTCTATAAAGTACTTAGCATTTACCAGAGTATGGGTTGCTCATTTGCCCCCTGCCTTTGAATGGATGTCAGATGCTGGAGGCACTTTTGTGACAGAACAGGTACTGCTGCTGCTGTTCTCTTCAATGGATAAGATTGCCTTGAGTTTTCCAAAGAGTTTTCATTTCTCTCTCTCTTGTTTGTATTTAGGGAGTATGCTTTGATATTCCTGCAGCTGAACTGAGTAAAATTCAGGTAAGACTACTAAACAGCTTTTATAATCTTTTTTGTGCAAGTGGCACAAAATGGACATAGAAATAAGATTGTACTTGTTAAAGCCAGATTCCTCCCTTATATACCATTTTAAAAGTCCTCTTTGTCCTTGCTATAAACATTTATCATCAGATCTGTCAGCTGAGATACTTAAGCAAAAATATTTGGTGGGAGTGGAGGAGAAGTTGATAGTTTGTAATCTCCTACAATAACTTATCTGCTGAAACTTGATGTCATTTTAGTCCTACTCCATTTCATATAAATTGCATCCTAATTCCTCTCTCCTCCACAGACCCTCATGCCGTGTCTCATCCCAATCTTTGGGGGCTGATTTTTTAAGAGTACAGGGAAGGGAAATTTCTTGTTCCAGGAGTCTTACTGTGCTCATTGTAGGTTTAGGGTTCAATCATGACACAACACAATAGATCTCTTGAAGCTTTCTGATCAAGCTCAGTTCTCTCTCTGTCCCAAGCTGTTCTGTCTCTCTTTAGCTGCCTGTCAGTAGCGGTTTATTAGAATCAAGCAGGCTCACACATGGTACAGTGAAAACGTTACAAAATGAAGAAGCCTCTAACTAGAATCACACTATGTTAATAACAGAATGTTCTTTAGGCTAAAACTCTCCTATCTTGCCCGAATGTTGCAAAGTTTGTGCTCTCAGTAATTCAGCAGACTCAGCACACTTTGTGCATTGCTTGCCAATCTCCCGGTGAGAACTTGAACTCGTCCTGGGCATGTCTCACGGGAGTTGTTCATATTCCCACAGCTCATCCTGCTTAGAATTCAGTCCTGTATTTTAAGGCTTATACCTCCAACATTTAGAGGTAGTATACACTGTTTATTACCTTGGCAAGGAACATATGCCCATCTACAAAATGAACAATAAGAGAACAGATACTCATAAGTGTGACATTCTTAAGTATTGGGGGGGGGGGTTGTATTCTTAAACTGTTCGAGGTTGTATAGCTCAAAAGTCTTTTTTGGTTTTAAATATTTATGACCATAAAAGCTTGTAAATTCACGATAAGATAACCAAAGTAATACAAGGCTTTCCTTTTCATTAGCAAATGTGGCAAGACTCAAGACGCTGGCAACTTTCTGTGGCGACAGCATTGCCAGAGCTTGAAGAATCACCACGTGAGAACAGCCGAGGTGGTGGCGGCGGCTCAGAATTCAGAAACGGGAGGCGAGGTGGTGGCTTCAACCGACAAGACCGATTCAGAAACAGGGGCCAAAAACGAAGCTTTGATCGGGCTTTTTGATTGCTCATTAACATACATGGGACTTAAATCTTTTGTTTTATTGGAAGTAAAGTTATTTACACTTACGTTTTGGTGGTTTTTGTTACTGGTGTGGATTTATCATCTTGATGTTATTTGTTGAAAAGATCAATGTTTGGATTGTTCTGGTGTTGCTTCACCACATAAGATAGCATAGTTAAAGACTGTCGTAGCCTTCCAAGCCTGCTCTTGATGCTGTGAGTTGGGTTAGAGGTGGGGTACATCTTGAGGCAACTTGACTGTTTTTCTACAGGCATTTTTGTTGCAGTCTCCCTGTGGATGGTGATCACCTGGGAGCACATGATAGACAGGAGAAGAACAGAATTGTACTGAACAACATTTGGAACTTTTATCAGTTCAAACGTCCAACTAGCTGCACACCAGTACCCCTAGCACAATGGGTTCTTGTTCTGTTTATGAAGGAAGAAGCACAACTCCTCAATCTGTAATAATTACTCTTTTATTTGTTTATATTTTAATTCTGCCTTTCTTCCTACTGGCTGAGTGAAATTTTTGGTATCTTCACAGCAATCCTGTGAGGGTAACTTGAATTTATTTTATTTTTCAAATTTATTACCCTGCCCTCCTGGCCGAGGCCAGCTCAGGGTGACTTGCACAGAGTGAAACACATAAATTACAATTAAAACAGTTTTTAAACCAACTAAAGTTAAGTTTGAGAGGAGTGTTTGACTTTGCAGGTCCACCCCTGAACTTCAGTGCAGAGAACGGTCTTTCTAGCAGTACATTTCTCCTAATTGCTTAAAATACTTGTCTGTGGTGCACAAAAAACTTGCATTTGAAATCAGTTAAGAACATAGAGGTTCACCTTTATACCTTTTCATACTTTAATGTCATCAGTATGAAATAAAACCAAGTGCTTACATGATGCAGTTTTAAAGCAGATGGTGTTACTCAGTCAAGTGAGCCCCCAAAGGCTCTTTCACAGATGTAGAGACTAAGCAAATGGTTATGACAGTGGGGGAAACAATGGAATCTTTTGGCCTATGCACAAAGCAGTTCCTAGTTTTGATGCAGTTAATCAAATGGGGGGGGGAGTGATGGAGGAAAGATAGTTATTTTCTTATTATTAACCTTACCAATACATGGGGAAATCAGTGTAGGAAAGCATAAAACTCAGTGCAATCTTGTTAACAGTAGCAATTTAAAACTATATACCTAATGAAGTTAAGAGTGTCAGTTAAGAGCTGACATAAGCTTGGAGGGAGGGGGTGAAAGGCACATGGGCAAGTAGGGGAGGGGGAGCAAATCATACTTTACTTGATCTTATTAAGGAAGAGCCCGGTGTGTCCATGTTCACGCTGCAAAACTAGCTTTTGTGATCCAATTGGAACGGGTGTAAACTTGGTGTACACAGTGGTGGGTTTAGGATGTACTCTGATGCAAGTAAAGGCCTAAGGCTCTATTGGTTTGAACTTTGGGTGCAGTCTGGGATAGATAGTGAAGCCTGGGGATCTGACTACCTTTGATGGTGCGAGATGGGTGGCTGTTTTGGCAAGGTATTTACACAGTGAGGGGCACGGTGGATAATTGGAATGGCATTTGCAAGAGGAATATAAGGGCTTTTGATTTTATCTTGCAAATCTTAAGCCATTGTATATAAACTGAGAAGTTTGGGGGCACAGGGGACTTGTGTTGAAATCTTCCCGCTGCCTTCAAGGTGTCAAATGGCTTTTCTTGTGGGTAAAATTAACAGTGTTCTCCTTGCCTCTAGTATCCATTTACCAGAAATTGTTGGGAGTCTGAATCCTGCATTTTTCTGAGTTGGGGTAATGCCAGAGTCTCTGAAAGAGATATTATCTGGGTACTCTTCCCCCACTGCTGGTCCCCCGGGGGTGCTCACGTCACATAAATTTTCATTTTGCCTCCTCTGTCGTTAGTATCCAATAATCTCTTCAAGTACTGCCCCTTTTGTAGATTAATCGGAATGGTTAAATTACTGTTGTGGGGAGGCTATAAAGGTTTTTGTAAAACCACCTGGGCTTTTTTCAAAATGGTTGTAGATTTAAAAATTAAATGCTTCATACGCAAAGGAAGAAAATCTTTCATACACAAAGCCCTGAAAACCAAGATGCTTGGATAATTTTGAGAGGAAGTAAGAACAGCGTTCCGTGCACCTTGGTGTCTAGTCACGCTGGCCACATGACCATGGAAACGTCTTCGGACAGCGCTGGCCCTTTGGCTTCGAAATGCGAAAATCAGCGCATCTCTAAAGCCCGCGTCAACTTTCGAGCAAGGAAACCTTTTACCTTTACCTAAGAATGAAATTGGGTGTCCCCCTCCAACGGGGGGGGGGCGCCTGGCCATGGTGGCCACCAGAAAAAATCCCAGTGGGTTTTTAGTCTGAAAGGTCATCTTCAGTGCCGGGAGCTGGACTCAGCAGCAGCAGCCTCTAGAAGTATTTCTCTGTAATCCAGTTTGCCAGTTATACATCTGTTTTAACCGTATGGCTGAAAACAATTTGCCTGCTGTTGCTAGGACGGGGTCACAATGATATAGCCCCACCTTACAAGCACACAGTTCCCCAAATTTCTAACCGGTTAAGCGTCGGGCAGACAGTCCAAGGGAGCACCCGTGTTGGTCTGTCCTAGCAGAATGGAACCCGAGTGCGGCGAGAGCTGCAGCCCACTTTGTGCTCAGGGAACCTCATAGCGAAATAATAAACGTCGCCAGTCTCTAAGGGCATGAGGCACCAGATTGTTTTATTACAGCCTCGGTTACCGTTTCTTACGGCGCATGTCCGGTACACGCATTGTTTTACGTTTGCCACGTTGGCGTTGGTTGCCGTCGCAACGACAGTTATTCCGCGGACACCGCGGTTCCATCCTCTGCCTCCATTTTGACTAAGGGAACGAAGTGTGGGCGGCCGGAGGTTGGCCCGTTGCGGTCTCAGAGCCGCGCGTGCGCAGTAGAATGTCGATGGGTCCGTGAGAGCGAGCGAGCGAGGGAGCGGGCAGCGACCAAACAGACCGGAGAGGACGAGGGAGGAAGGAGGCAAGATGGCGACCCCCGCCGGCTGGGCCTCGCTGTGCGAGAAGTTCCGCAGCGCCGTCAACGTCTCCTACGTGGAGTCCAAGAACGACCCGGAGACGGAGCCGTATCGCTCCAAGTACGCGGCGCGGGAGCTGCTCGAAGGCGTCAAGCAGCTGCTGGCCTCGGAGGAGGCCGAGGGGGCGCCGGGTGAGGGGGGCCAAGAGGGGGACGGCGAGGCGGGGCGGCTGCAAGCGGTGCGGAGAGCCGTCGTGGAGTATGAGCTCGGGGTGAACTACACCGACACGCAGGAGTGCTCGGCCGGCGAGGAGCACCTGGTCAAGTGCGTCAAGCTGCTGGAGCGCCACCGCCTCTCCCGGGAGTGCGTCTCCCTCTACATCCAGGCCCAGGTGGGTGGGCACAGGCGGGCTCGGCCAAGAGGAGGAGGAGGAGGAGGAGGGGGCTGCGGTGTCATTTAATGTACCCCTCGCTTGTGCACGTCCATCCTCCCCCGTCATTCCAAGGCCTTTCCCTGTTGCATGGGGGCGGGCATTTGAGACATCTTGCGGGGACAATGGATGTAGGTGGTAATGCTTGACCAGAATATGCAGGCAACTGAAGGTCAGCCCGTGTGCCTGTAACAAATTGTGTGTGTGTGTGTGTGTATATATATATACACACACACAGAGATTCTTATGAAGAAGTCAATTTTTGGTGGTGATAAAACGTGTAACCCAGCTGGTCAGAAGGGTTGCTTTTTGTATAGTTCTTTTGTGGAAGGAAGAAGACTGGGCTTTTGGGCCCTTCAGCAAATCAAAATCCTGACCCTTCATTTTCTTATACACTTGAGTGGTCCATTGCATGGGAGAGACTGCTCTTCTTATGAGGCTAGTTACAGGAGTTAAGTGAACATTTGATCCATTTGGAATGGTAAGGAAAACCTAAGCTGAAGAACAGATTGTTGTACTCTTTCCATAGAATTCTTGTTCCAGTAATGAGATGTGGTAAAGATACTGCTCATGATTGTTGCATATAACACACAGTAAATATAGGGAACTCTTATTTCTTGTGGAAGCAGGTGGTGGTCTTCCTTGTAATTTTCTTGGCTTCCTCTGATTTTGACCATAAGAGCTGTATTGATAGTACTAATGCAACTCATGGGAAATTTAAAAAACAACTAGAACTCAGGACAGGAAGATATAGAGCAGGAGTGTCTAACATAAGGTGTGGTGGCCAGAAGCAACCTGCCCAGGGCTCTGTCCATGTACTGGGGGAGAGTGAGCAAAGCCACTCCATTGTGGATTCAGCACAGCAGAACAACCTCGTCTGCAGCAGTCAAGCATCGTGGGAGCATCTGCCCAGCCTGCCTATGTGGGTTTTCCTCTGCACACCCCTCCCATCCCATGGGGCATTGCAGTGAGCGTACACCAACTCGGAGCTTATCAGCAGCGGCTGGCATTACGTTTTATGGCACACATGGCCGGCCCAACAAAATGACATTTATGTCAGATACGGCCCTCGTAAGAAATGAGTGACACATAGAGGCTTATTATTAATGCTGGAGTCTAAGCAAAACTTGTAAATTCTGCAATTTGATTTCTGATAGTGTTAGAAGAGACTTGCCTACTCATCTGAAGTATGAAGCCGTCGACCTTAGATCCTGCAGCTATAGCATAATGGGCAATGGTTGTAGTTGCATTTTCAGACCCAGGGAAATGCAGTAGGACTGTGGTGGCTGTATCAAATGTAAGAGAGCCCTGACCAAAATGGGTGTGTTGCATTGTGTTTTGATAAGGCAAGGCCTGGCAGGTTGCTGTTTAATCTCTGTGCCAGGGCATACACAATTGTGTATGTTGGGGATACACAGAGCTAAGCAGTGATGGGGGGGAAGGCAGAGCAAGGAAGCATTGGGAAGGGGTGGAAGGAACAAAGGTAAGAGTGCAGGAGAGCAGATGTAGTTGGTGGACCATCACTGCTTTCCTCTTGTTGGTTAGGAAACCCACAATACTTATAGTTCAAGCAGTAGCAAGTTATATCATCTACTAGCTCATTCTCTCAG